ATATGTTCTAAGGTTTTTAATAATAGTTTTACTGTAAAAAATCTTTACTGTAAAATATAGCTAGGGCTTAGCCCTGTTAGCCCACCAGCTGTTATATTATTTCTTTTATTTATGGAGGTATTGTGATGACCTTCAGTTTGTCACATGTCTCCTTTTTTGGGGAATGTTGCATGTTGAAATGAAACTCTTGTCGTCTCGTCACTCGGCTCTTTTTCACTGGAAAGCGGATGAACTTTCTCTGATGTGTTTTGAAATGTCTTCACACTTAGTGAGTCACTACTATAGAGGAACTAAGTTTGTCACAGTGGTTATCTACACTGTTTTTGTCTGAGGAGGATCACAGGCACATTAAACACATGCACAACACACTTTTAGAGTGCCATGCAAATTCCCTAAGTTTCGTTTTGTCTCACTGTTTACCAGTGTTGTATGCTTACAGTAAGCTTCATGTTTGGGCTTGTTTTAGAGGTTTGAAGTGCAGCCAGTGGTGTAGTTTACCAGAGCATTATTGTTCTTTTTTTGTATTTAGACAATTATCTCCAGGGTGGGAATTTTCCAATCACCACCTACATATTGGTCCATTGTAGCTGTATCAGCCAATGTTTCATGTCCCATCTTAAAAATGTTTCCGCCTGGTATCTTCTACTTGTCACACAGGAAAGTTTTCTTGGTCTTGGTCACAATTGAATATTCAAAGCTACTGCATGTTTTTATTTAAGTAGGCCACATATGGGGGTTTCCTCTTCAGCACTCAAAGAATTTGTTTCTCAAATGTCTGCACATTGCTTATTTGGAGGTTTTAAGGGTTCAGCACACACTAGATCTTTCTTAGCCTTGGCGAGAACCTGTCTGTAGCCCAGTTCGGTTTTAGGTTTATCTCAATCTCAAACACTTTGGACTTGGCAGTCAGCACTTGGAGATGGTGAGACTACTCTTTCAGCAACTTTGGGAGGCCCTGTTCTAGTGTAGTAATGGCAGTCAATAAGCATTGATTTGGTTTTTCGTTTGCAAAATATTAAAACAATCCCGGTGGAAATTGGTGCATTCTGTGTCACTGGGGTACCTGTGTCCACCACTGCCTAGATGTCTGAAAAAATGTTCACTTTTCAATCAAATCTCGCCCAGTTTTAACCTGTCTAGATGTCTTTTCACATGTAAATCATCAAAACTATGTATGCCAGGATGTGCCTGTTAAGAAATATTAAAGTGGTATGTGAATGTGAACTGTGACTGGTTCACAGAGGATGTGGTTTCTGGGTTTTGTTGCCCATTGTATCAATGTGTAACCTTTTTTCGCTATAAATATGCCTTACCCTAACCCTGTTTCGATACTATATTCTTCATGCATAGGAACTGAGAAAGCACAACTGAATGCAGACTTTATGTCTCTATTCCTGACAGGACTGACACAACCAGGTCTGAGCAACAATGGATGAACTCTATCCCCAACTGCCAATCAACAGTAGACTTTCAGGTCTGACATGCACGGACATCATTGACTATTGAGTAATAATACTGCCCAGTTTTCAATGCTGAACCCTAGCAACACAATACATTCAGCTTTTGATTACAGGCTTCAGTGAATAGCAGATGTCTAACTGACAAGAGTCAAACTGAACCAGGATGTGTCACTTTATGAATCAGTTTTAAAATACCTAGGGACTGTTTATTTTTGGAGACAAGACATCACAAAACTACTCAGGTATGACACCAAAGTGTCACTATCACTGGCTGAGGTTGATGTGGTTTGTGGTTTGTGGTTTCTGCTACTCATGGCAAACTAAACCACCCAGACAGTGAGACTGATTTAATCTGTGTCCTCATGTTCAAATGAGAACTGCTGCCACCTAGTGCCTCATACTTGATATTACAATGTGTAATTATTGACTTCACTCTTGTGAATATACTCCAGAACCAATGTTTTGGCCAGCTTTGGGCCCTCATAAGGACCAAATGCAATGCAAATATTTGTTAAAACCTTATCTTATTTCATTTGCAAACAGAGTGTGGTGAGATTTATAGAATTTATCAAGTAAATGATTAAAAATATTTTTTGTGTTTTTCAAAGCTGAGTAAACCAACATGGGCATCTACCCTTTAAATAAAATTCAAATGGTAAAATTACTTGTGTTGTTAACTAAGATCTGCCTGATAAATGCACTCATAAACACACATTGTGACAGAGCTGACCTCCTTCCTACAGATTCCTTAAAAGTGCACCGTAACAAAATTCTGTTATACTGTCAGATAGTTCAACATGTCATGAATACTGGACTGCTTTTCTCTACCTACTTTCACTTTGTATCCATTTTCATATAGTTTTTTGTACAACATGATCACCATCTGTTTTATTGTTTTACTTTATTTTAAATAAAGAATGAAAGATAAAAATGTATATTTGTTTAGCACCCTTTGGGTATTTATACATATTTATATATAAAACCTCATGTAAGAATCAAACATTTTCAGTTGTCATGAAAAGTTTTCCATTCAGCTTTTATTTGGTGAATTTGCATTATAAAACAGAAAAAGTAATGGAGAAAATTACACACATAACAGGCCTACAAGTGGAAGACTGTGGTCCTTTCCCTTTTATGTCTTATTTATGCAGAAATGTGTCATATTTAGTGCTCGTGTTCAATGTATTTCTTCCCTTTTGTGTCTTCTTTCCCCCTGAAATGACCTCTTCAAAATAAAGATTATATAGAATAATAAAGGCACTGATTGAGGGGCTAGATGAAGTGACTCTCCAGGCTTATGTGCACACACGCACCCA